GTGCAGAAGCTTTTTAATAAGAAGAGATCCCACTTGTTGACTGTTTGTGTTAGTTCACAAGCAACTGAGGTTTTGTTCATAAAATCTTTTCCTACACAATGTCTTCAAGAGTTCTACCTAACCTCTGTTCCAGGCGATTCAGCATTTCTATTTTAATATTTAGATCCTTAATCCATTTTTATTTTAGTTTAATGCATAATGAGAGATATAGATCTAGTTTTAATCTTTGGCAAGTTGAAACCCAATTTTTCCAGCACCATTTATTGAAGAGGCTATCTTTCCTCCAGTGTTTGGCTCCTTTATCGAAGATGAGATGGCTGAGTATGTCAGACGTTGTTTCTGCATCTTCTAATCTGTTCCACTGGTCCTCAGGTCTGTTTCTTTGCCAGTACCATGCTATTTCCAAACCTCTAATTCATGGTGGCAAAATTGGTCAAATAATAGCATTCTAGCATGGGAGATTAGCGGCGACCTGTTACAAGCGCATAACACAACACCCTGCCCACTAGGAAGGTGGAATGCTAGTTTACTGTTAGACCTTAGTTATCATTAACTATCACAATCCTCTTATAAGATTGTGAAGCAGATTTCTAGCATAACAAACTAAAAGTAGCTAAATGTCCAGCCAAAATAAGAGCAGAAAACAAACAACACTGTGTTTTCAAACATTAATACAATTGAAAAATCTCTAGGGAGATCAATTAAGGGAAATAAGTAGAAGACACAAATTGCCATTAATAGATTTAAAGAGGAACTCTTAATGTAGTTTTTACAGTCACTATGAAGAAGTTAATGATATATCATTTAAAAAGTCATATGAATAAATTTGGCAAATTCTTGAAAATGTAATTTACTAAAGCACAACAGTAAACATTAAATATATTTATTGACTAAATTTAGTTTATTGAATTTATTAAATTTCTCTTTGTTCTATTTAATTTATTTATAAAATTAAATTTGCCATTAATGGTCTTACTATAAAGAAAGTCAAGAGGCCCAGATAACTTTCCTAATGCATTCCATCAAACATTTAAGGAAAAAATGATAACGATCTTACACAAACCCAGAAAATTGAAAGCTATCTAACCCCCATATGAAAATCTGACATATGCAATAAGACAAGAAACTTGTAGATTGCTATCATTTATGAACATAGATGTAAAAGTCTAAAATATTAGTAAATAAAAATCAGCAACATAAAAAAGTAGATAATATCTCAGAACCAAATAGATACTATCCCAGAAATGCAAGACAAATTCCACATTCAAAGGGCAGTCAGTGCAATCTGCAATATGAACAGAATAAAGGAGAAAAATAATAGAATCTTCTCTATCAATCCCATGCAACTTTTGGCAAGATTCCACATTCATTCACTGCAATAACTATCATTGAACTAGATAGAAAGAGGAGCTTCCTCATCCTCCTAAAAATTATCTTTGAAAAACCTACAGCTTACATACTCAGTGCTGAAATCCTAACCCAGTGCCCCTGCAATCAGGAACAAGGCAGGGATGCTCACTCTCTGCTCTGGTACCTGTTGTTCTCCTCAGCACCTACAATCCTTGCTTTCAAGAGCAACATTAATGTCTCATCCTGTCTGCCAGCCGTTCCTCACTGACAGGGGTTGAAACACCTGAAAATCAGCTGGCAAACTGGCCTGGAGCAAGTAAACATGGAAATAACTGTATTTACAAATCCCCTTATATAAAAGCAACCTCCTGAAGACATTCCTACTTGAAATTCTCTTGTAGTGAGATTTTTTAAAGGGCTGACTTGAGCTCCCCAACTGTACAGACAGAACTGAAAATCAGACAGGCAAAAGACTTCATCAAGGTCGTACAGTCAGTGCCAGGGAACAGAAGGTCAGCTCTGAGGCTTGCTGGGGCCATATCAATCTTACAGCTCCCCAGTTTCCCTAAATCGATTAAAAAGAGCCATTTATATTTACCTAAAGAGGTCAGACCTGCATAGAATGATGAGAACCTCTGCTATGGTTTGAATGTGTCCCCCAGAGTTTGTGTATTATCTTAATCTCCAATGCAACAATGTGGGGAGGCGGAGTCTTTAGGAAGTGATGAGGTTGGGAGAGTTCTGCTTTTTCACTCATATGATGGCCTCTGCCACATTATGATGCAGGAAGAAGGTCCTCACCAAGCCAGGCATGGTGGCACATGCCTGTAATGCCCTCACTTGGGAGGGTGAGGTAGGAGAATCACCATGTGTTTGAGGCCAGCCTGGGCTACACAGTAAGAGCCTGTCTCGAAGAAGGAAGGAGGGTAGGTGGGCAGTGGCACTCACCAGATGCCAGCACTGTGCTCTTGGATTTCTTGTCCCCCAGAACTGTAAGCAAATACTTCTCTATTCATTATAAATGCTTGAATCTGTTACAACAGACTCTGTTACTCTGTTACAACAGCATGAAATGGATTAACATTCCCTCACAATTACATTAGAAAATGAAAAGGATGCACTACTTCCATGTATATTTAATAAAATAATCACAGTACAAACTGTAGAAATTTAGCAGTAGGGTTTCCACCATTATGTTAGTGTTAATCATCTTCTTTCCTGGTTGTAGTGAGACAGTTCTATCACACATTACACAGTTGTCAGAGAGACTCTGAGCAGAATAACTTGTCTCTCTCCTCCTGACTCAAAACTGTTTTGCTTTAGATCAAAAATGTCCCCCAGGGCCGGGGATTTAGCTCAGTGGTTCCGTTGCCTGCCTCAAAAGTGCAAGGTCCCAAGTTCAACCCCCTGTACCAGAAAAAAAGAATGTCCCCCAAGTCCTCATGTGCTCACAAGTAGGGCTTTGAAAGGTGACTGAATCATGGGGGCAATATAGCTGACTTCGTGTTAGGAGGGAGGTCTGGTCAGAAGAGACAGGTTGCTGGGGGCATGACCTGGAAGGCCACATCTCCCTTCCTGGGTCCTCCCTTCTCTCTCTGCTTCCAGTTCCCATGATGAGAGCAGCTTTCCTCCTCCTGGCCCTTCCTTGGGCCCTTTTCTGTGTTTAAGCCTGCTAATCAGGGACTAAGACTTCTGAAGCAGTGAGCCCAGATGAACCTCTCCTCATTTAAGTTGTAGGTGTCGAGTATTGTGTCTAGCCATGAGGAAAGTGACAAAGATTCTGTGTGTAGAAATAATGCACAATTATGCACCACCATAATAGACACATCTATGATCAATAGAGCAATACACCGAAATATTGTACAATGGTTTCTAAACCACATCCTCTATAAAGAAATTCAAAATATAGACCAAAGAATATTCTTTCATGACCTTATCCTTCCAAATCTATCTCAAACACCCAGACCTATGATGTTGTTTATTTACCACCTATAGCTCACAGTAGGAATGAAGGAACACAATGCACACTTGCTCCTTGGGCCTTCTTTATTCCCCAGCACTGGGTATTGAACCCAGGGCTTTGTGCATGCTAGACAAGTGCTTACACTGAGCTATACCCCAGCTCTTCACAGGTCTTTTTATTAACAGCACTCAGGAATTTATAAATCTAAGTTAACACACGCGAAGTCCTTAGAATGGTGCTTTTCCCATAGTAAATGCCAAATCAGTGTCCCCTCACATGGAGGCTATTAAAGGACACTTCCCAGCATTCCAGGGTCTAAACTAATTTGGTCTGAGGCACACACAGGAAAATGATGTGGTTCTGCTGGACAGGATCCCAGAGGAGCCTCTTCCTAGAGACAGGCTGCCTGCAGGCTAGGTCACCACCTCTCCTGGTCTCCTACAGGCTGGGCTGTCACCTTTCCTGGGTCTTTGAGTGACACTTGGAGAAAATGCTGCCAGCAGAGGTCATCCATGCCTAAATGAAATCACACCTCCCTCCCTCTGGTTGTGCCAAGACTAAACAATGCAAGGAAAAATAAAGGCTTCTTAGTGGGTTTTGCCTCAACCACTTTCAGAAAACAGAGAAAAACACCCTCTTGCACTTTAATTTGGTTCCATGGTAGCAAAACTCAATTCACCCAAATAGAAAAAGCTGTGCTGAGTCAGCACCCCAAAGCTGGCTGGGCTCGGGACCAGGTCACAGGTATTTCGGAAAGGTAACGGGGACAGTCCCTTGCATTTGGCTCCTGTCCCAAACCTCTCCACCCCAGCATGTAATTAGAGCAGAACTCACAGGAGATGAAATTAGGAAGCTAATCAGGGCAAGGGCAGTCCTCTGGGATGAGCCCAGAGAAGCTCCGCTCTCCCTCACAAGCAGTTTGCTGTTCAGACCATTTTGTCTCAGGGTCTCTTGCATGTGCCCTGTTTGAGCCACCTTCAGCCCCTCACTGAGAGCCTGCCCCACTTCCTGCTGTTGAGTATGCTTGAGGCCTGTCACCTTGCTGGGCCATGCTACCCAGCATGCACCTGCCAGACTCAGGCCCAGGGGCAGGATTTGGGCAAGGGCATGAGCTCTTTGAATATGTAGGTATTTGGGTGTCTGAGGAATTTGGGAGAGCTTGTGACTGCACTTAGGAGGAAGGCTGATGACTTATATAAACATAAGTCTTTCCAGAACAAATAGTGGAAAGTGGATTTAAATTCATGCCCACCTCCCCCAGAGCTTTTCGTTCCAAATGTACATGGTCTGTGGCTCACAGACATGAGCACCCCCTGCCCAGCTGAACACTTGGAGGGATGCCATTCCATGAGCCAGGCAGGGGAAGGAATATGAGACTCCTGAACCTTTCCCTCCCTTTTGCTGAGAGGCTTCTGTGGGGTAGGGACTGGGTCAAAACAAAGCCCTACTAACACAAGCAACTGTTCTTGCCCCTGACCTCCAAGCCATTTCCCAAAGCCCTGCGGCATCTGATAGGTATACCCGAATAACTGCAGACATAGAGAAAAGGAGCCTGATTCCCTGACAGCTGCAGTGTCTCCACAGCATGGCCTTTTCACCAAACCTGCTGTGTAGACCACCCCAAAGGCCCCGACAAGGATATTAAAAATCCAGCAAGAAGTTGAGTAAACAGGGCACTGTTACTTACATGGTTGGCCGGCCCACTTGGGCTAACAGAGCTGCAGGGGGCTTCTGAATGACCTCAGTGTTCCAGAATAACAATCAGGCCAGCCTCTTAGAGCCCTGGGTGTGGGCTCCACAGTGAGAGCCAGAAAGACAGCTCAGGCTGCCAAAAGCCTCGTCAGAGGAGAGTGGAGAACACATTGCTGCTCCTGGCAGGGACGGCAAGCAGGTTGTGGCCGCACATTGTTCTGAGCAGAGAGCCGGACTAAGTCCCCTGTGCACAGATTCAGGGGGGCGTGATCAGGGCACAAGTTTAGGCAGGAGATTAGACACTCTCCAGGGAAGGGTGGATGACAGCTCCATGCAGCTGTCTGGACAGTTCAGGACTGTTGTGCCGTTCCAGTGATTTTAGGGAATTAAGATGTTTGGGGCAGGAGTTCAGATAAAACTCTTAGTCCGCCTTCCAGTTGCTTAAGCAGCAAACCTTGGCAATATTCTTGACACCTCTCCTGTCCCCTTCTCTTTGTCTCTGCCTCTCTGTATCTCTCACTTTTTTTCCATTTCCAATCTATCAGGAAGTCCTATTGGTCCTATTTTCAAAATGCACTCTAAATCTGTCCAGCTCTTAGCCCTTCCACTGTGACTACCCTGGTCTGAGCCGCCATCCTCTCCCACTGCGATTGCTGACAGCAACATTGTAATGCAGCACATAACTACTTGTGTATATGATTCATTTCATATGTATTCATTATGCTTCCTCTCTCCCTCTCTCTCTCCCTCTCTCTCTCCCTCTCCCTCTCTTTGCTAAAATGCAAAACTTCATGAGAACCAGGAATTTTACACAATTTGTCGATTGGTAGATCCTGTGAACCTAGTAGAATATATGGCATAGTGATGGTTTTCAGTTCCCATATGAATAGTTTAAATAAACAAATGAAGTAATTTAGGGTAAAAATTATTGAATGGCCCCTTGACCAGTCTTGGAACAACCTCCTGGATGCACCAATTATCCATTCATAAGTGTGTTTATTGAGCATCTACTCTCTACGAAACACTACGCTGGGACCCATAATACACTGATGAACAAAACACTTCAGTCCTACCTTTGTGGAGTTTATGTCTAGGACTAGAGATAGATACTACTGTAGTACCAGGGACATAAGTGAATTGTTAACATAGTCCAGGGAAAACATTATGCTTTTGGCTAGGTTGGTGGCAGAGTAGATGGAAATTGCTATGGAGATTTAAGATTTATTTAGAAGATAAAAAACATAGGAGTTGGGATAGATTAAATGAGATTGAGGAAAATCTTATGACAAAGGTACGTGCCAAATTTCTGATTTAAGAAACTTGGTGGATAGTTGCTATTGGCTGAATAATGGTCCTCCAAAACATATTTGTATCCTAATCCCTAAAACCTGTAAATTTTACCTTATTTGGAAACATGGTCTTTGCAGATGTTATTAAATAGAACGTTTTTAAATGGGAGATTATTCTGGATTACCAAGGTAAACCTTGTGTGTAATTACATGTGTTCTTGTAAAATGGGGACAGAGGACAGTCAAGAGCCATTTACAGAGAGAGAGGGAGAGAGAGAGAGAGAATGCAAAGAGAGAGCAGCAAGATCATTAAAACTACTGGCCTTGAAGACTGAGTGATGTAGCCAGAGGCCAAGTTCAAAGGTTAATTTAATTTGTGGACTTGACTAGGTCATGGGATTCCCAGATGTTTTGTCAGATATTATCCTGAGTGTGTCTGTGAGGGTGCTTCTGGGTGAGACTGACATGAGAATCTATAAACTGAGTATGGCAGATTGCTGTCCTACTGAGGCCGAGCCTCATTCAGTTAACTGAAAACACGAATTGAGCAAAAACACTGAGTGTGAAGGAATTTCTCTTCTCTGTGCACTGGAACTCTGGTTTGCTGGCCTCAGGCTGGAACTTACACCCACCTCTCTGAGGTCTGCACCAGGCGGACATCACATCATGTGACTTCTCGGTCTCTGTGTGTGCATGGGCCAATTTACTCAGATACATACATAGACAGGGAGATGAGAAAAACAGATACAGTTCCTTATGGCTCTGTTTCTCAGAACAACCAATTAATATATCAAGAAATGCTAGGAAGCTACCAGAAACAGAAAGAGACAAGGAACAAATTCACCCCTGTGGTAGATGGGGTGGAGTGTCAACTTTAAGATCCACCCCCAGGAACTGGGGAGCACACTTTTTTTTTTTCAGTCAGTAGGACTGTGAGAAAATGAATGTGCACTGTCTTAAGCCTATCAATTTGTAGCAGTTTGTTACAGAGGTGACAGGAAAGTAACACAATAGGAGCTACAATAAGAGAAGTATATGAGGGTAGTGAGAGGTATCCAGATTCGTTCTGTAACATGAAACCTGAGGTGCCTGTCTCACACCAACTGGAGAGGCAGGCCAAATACGGCTTTGCGGGTGTAGATATGTGACTCACAGAAGGGTCTGAGCAAGCTATGTTCCAAGGTCCTCAGGACTAGAGAGCCATGCGAAATGAGATGAGAAGGGAAGACAGCTGAACACCACTTCCTGAGGAACTCAGCATTGGGAGGTCAGGTAGAAAAGTAGTCTGAGAAGATAAGTAGGAGACATAGGGTCTTGGAGCCAGAGTAGGTGAAAGCTTTTGGATGGGGCCATGGGGTAGGGTAATCAGCTTGGTGAAGTACCTAAAGAAAGCAGATAGTTGTGCTAATACTGGATCCAGAGAGGCTTCTTCATTATTTTCAGATGGAAAAGTTTAGAGCATTGAGTATGATTTGAAACATGATTTGGTAACAAGAATGGTTAAGAAGGCAGAAGGATCCAGAGAGCAGGTCTCAATCCTGATTGTAGTTAGGATCCCCGAGGATACTTAGAACCTCCCAGTGCCTGGTCTGCAAGCAGTACCAAAGACTTCGGATTTTCTGAGCTGGGACCCAGGCATCAGGCATTGTTGGGATCTTGTTGAAGGTAACTGCACAGCAAGGTCAAGGAGACTCAGAGCATACCTGGGAAGTGTGGCCCAGGAAGGGCCAGAACAGGTGCAGACACAGGTGTAGGAGGTCTGGTGAATGCAAAGTGGGGACTTCCCAGCATCAACTCTCTATTTCCAAAATCCAAGGCAAGGTCGCACATACTGAGCAGGTGCTATCCTGTAACAGAAGAGAGAAGAGACTGAGGGCTTCAGAAAAGGGAGAAAAGATGACAGTTCATGCTGGGTGGAAAAGGGAAATCACCCCATCTAGGGAAGTTTGGCTGAGGGCATCGGAAAGGACTTGAACTTATAGCTGTATCTCCATTCATTTCTTCAGCTGACAATTGTCAGATAGACACCAAATAGACCATGAGCAAGACATGGTCCTCAACCTCACAGATTTCACAGTTCAATGGCGCAAGGAGACATAAAAGCAAACAGAAGCCTCAGGAGCTGTAACACCATCAAAAGGGAGAGTGAGGACGCTAGCTTCTGTGGGGACAGAGTCGTCTCCCTCACACATAGAGTGCTTCTGAGATGCGTTGTTCTCCAAGCACCTCTGGGGAAGCAGGAAATGACAACTCAGCTTCTATTCCCAAGCAGGACTAAAGCATCCCTAAAACAGGACTGCCACCTCAGGGGTGCAGAGCCACATGAGGTCTTTGGCAGAGGAAGACCCTCCAGCCCGGAAAAGGTCCCAGGCGGCAGAGGGAAGTTTCTGAGTCCTCTGGCAGGGCCAGTAGCAATGCTGACGCTAACAGCGATTTTCACATGCTCATCTCCATGTGACGTTCAGAAAATGGCCAGTAGGTGGCAGGGTTAACATTTGCAAAATAACTGCCTGCGGCGGCACAAAAAGTAGGAACAAACCTGAGGATGTCCTGTGCGATGCCAAAATCCCTAACTCGCAGCCTGGCTGCAGATAGATCCCTGTGCCAGCGTGCCCGCCGGAGAGTAGTGGACACGGTATGATTTTAGGTGCTGTCTAATCTGAACTCTCTAGTGCACAGTTACTCGGTTTCGTTTCTCTAGCCTGCAGCCCTGAGCTGTCCAAGGCCCACAACTGCCTGTCTCCCGAGCAATTGAATATGGCTAGCCCGAGAAACTAATTGTTCACTTTTATTTCATTTTAATTCTTCTAAATATAAAACTTGTTACTCGGTTCTGTTACAGAAAAATTGTTCAGTAACCCTGAAATAATTCAGTTATGTCAATCCATTTTTTTTTTGCCACTCTGAATTGTATGGAATCTACTCTAGATCAAGTATTTCCAATGAAAATGCTGAAATGGTGCTGAAAATGTAAAATACACCATGGGTTTTGAAGACACCGTGTGAGAGTCAGAAGGTAAATATCTCGTTAATATTTTACATTGGCTATACTGATTTTATATTAATTTAAATAATATTTTGGTAGATTGCATTAAATAAAATGTATTATTTAAATTAATAAAATTTTCCATTTTTTTTTAAACACCATGTAATCGAAAAAACAAAACGAAACAAACCGGGAACTGCTCTGGGAGCACAGGGTGAGGGTTCAAGCACTTCACCTCACCTCCTCCGCAAGGTGCTGCTGGTTTCCCTCCCAGCCCAGAGTCCCAGCCACTTCCCCCAGCTTCCCACCAGCCCACTGTCCCCAGTGAGGGGCCTCCTCCCTCCAGGCTGGCCAGGCATTCCTCTCCGCCTTCAAACAAACCATGACTTTTTGCTTTGTCTCTCCTCCCCCTCCTCCGGCTTGCCTTCCCTGTTCCTCCTCTGTCCTCGGCTCCTCCCTGACCAAAGTCCCTCCCTGTAGCTTGGTCCTACCACGCTGAAGGGAGGACCCTGTCTTGTCCCCTCTGCCCAACCCTGCTGCGACCTCAGCTTCCCACACTCTGAGGCCACACTGCCTGTAAATTCTTCCAGAAGCTGTCTACTTTTCAGGATTTAAAAAAAAAAAAAATGATGATGAAGGAGAAGGAAAAAAAGGAAAGAGGAAAAGGAAAAGGAGAAAAAACTGAAAAACACAAGTTTAAAAAGCAAAATGTAGAGGGAGGAACATGGCAGAATTTTCTTTTTCTGGTCATGCTGCCCCCGTGAACATGTTGAATGTGGGTTACTAGAAAACTCCCAGGGATATCTATGGCCCCATGGTTACTAGGGGCAGTGCTGTTCCTGAGGAACTTAGGGTAGCACAGAGAGGAATTGGAGCTTAGGGAGACAATGGAGAATGGGCCAGTGTAGCACAGGAGAAAGGCCAGGCAATGAGCCTGAGGAGAGGCAGAGACAGA